TTTTTTCTTTATAGCTGTATTATGAAGACACATTGCAGGGTAATATGACAATTATAAGAAATATATATGCTTTCTATTTTGCTTTTAATTTTGAAGGTTATAGGGATGCATTTACATCGCAGGAACAAAAGGCGGCAATGTTCCTATGAAAATCAAGAAACTCTTATTCTAATTCCTGACTATAAAATTACAAGAAATGAGTAAATGTATATAAAGATCATATTTCAGCTACATCATGCCATGGCCCATATAAGCATGCACTCCTAGTTAAGAATAAATTGAAATGGATCCAAATATCTGAAGAACCACGTGGATACATAAAGTTAATAAAACTTTAAGTTATGCCCTCATTCTTAATATATATTTTTTTCTAGATATTTAAATAACCTATAGTTGTTAATCCATAAAATAATTAACATGTGTATGTTTAATTACTATATATTTATCTAATTATTTCTCAACAGAGAACACGATTTGTGTATTTCTTATACATGCATTTATCCAATGCTCTGCCTTTTACTTATAGATATTTGAGATAAATAGATTTCACTATAAATTTGCTTTCAAGAGATAAAACAACCATTGAGTAATCTTGAACTCTCAAATTATTGTAGAAACTTTATAAGATGATAAACAAAATTCTGTTAACAGAAATATCCAAGAACTTTATATTTTCATTGAGATATTTCTTCTAATCAAGGTACAATAATTTGTTTACATTCTAAGGTTTTTAGAAATTGTTCCAAAGTACAACCGGGAAAAATTCTAAAAGAAAAAGTAGATGTTTCAACAGAGAGGAAGTGCATCAGAGTCCTCAGAAGAAGAAAGAAATCATCTTTGGGTAAAACAAGAAGTTTATATTCCAGATTTTAATGATAGAAAAATTTTCCTAAATAGGAAAATCTTTGCATCATTATCTAGACAGGTATARAAAGTTAAAAYAATTAAAAATGACATTTTTAAATGTACTGKATTGACTAYAAAAATTTTAACTGATTAATTCCAGGATATTTCAGACTATTTGCCTGATTTTWCTATGCTGATGTGTGCTAAAATTTTGTCCATATTTTGACATGATAAAGACCTGTAAAACATTAAGTTTATTTTCTTTAAGGAAGGTCTTTATTGCCTAATGATTCTTGCTGTTTAAGGCAAGGATTAATTTTGGTGAAG